TCTCCTCACACCTTGCTCATCCTTATGCTTCCTGCAGGCACCCTTCAAAGGATCTTGTGGTATCCCAGGATACCCCAGCACCCCAGTTGAGTATTACTGCCAAACCTCCATAATTAGTAATAGCCTATAAACCACTTCTGTTACCAGTTAACATAGCTTCCTTAAGGAGGTGCTGTGGATGAGCTGATGAACTCTGGCTCTCAGAAGACACAGCAGGGACAGTGGTATGTAGATGTAGGAAAAAATCTTCCCAACTGGGGACTAACTGAGGAAGAAACCTTCCAAATTTGCGACAAAAGCAGCATTTCAGGGACTCTATGGGGATCTAGATCCAAAACTTAGAACTGTCCTTGAAAATCTGGGATTGAATGGTCACTTTAATTTACCCTGCCTTCTACCTGTCTTCAGACTAACACAGCTCACTACCTCACTTTAATTTATACATTTCAGGCTAAAATGTGACATAAGAATACTGAATTATTTAAAATAATATGAAAGCCAAGAAATCCCCTTAGACTAGAGCATGGTTAAAATAAAGGCCAGATTCTGATTGCTTTAATCAAGTTGAACAATGCCACATTCAATGAGTAACTCTGTGGAAGTCAAAGCGTGTTCATGGGAATAAGGTATATTCACTATGATTAATGAGGTCAGACTCTGTCCACATCTGAACCAGAGAGAATTTTGAAGTTCTCATTAATATAAAAATTGCAATAAAATACTGAAAGAATTAGGAGGAAAACTCATAAAAAGAGCCATCAATAGCACTGAAAATAAAATTTAATTCTTGTGACCCCTTTTCCTCATCTTCCCTTTCCTACTGAAGCAACTGCTTCTCCCAAAAACAGCTGTATTTTTTTTCTGCTTATATTGCACCTCAGTGAATTGAAATAAATAGGTTGGGACCCTCATGAGAAGAGAAATGACATCCGTTCTTAGAATCCTAACAGAAAAAAAATACCCTGCTGACTTAGAACTGGAAGGAGGAATAAAAGCAAACAAGATAAATCATAGAGTTTAACTCTGTTACTTAAAGAATTCCCCTTTCAAAGCCTGGACAGGCCTATTTTTATTGCACTTTGGATTTTTTTCCTTTGTTCACAGACCAGCTGAGAAAACATATTTCCATGATGGCAAACAACATGGAGATTCTAATGAAAGATGCCAAACTAAAGAATCATGGCAGGCATGTTTCCTGGAGTCACAGCACTGTTGGGACTAAAATTTATTTCTCTCCCTCACATGGCCAAGTGGCACTTACGTGGTCACAGAACTGCAGAGTTTTATGGCTAGTTTAGATTATACTTTTACTTAATGCAAAACATGAGCTCACTGTAGGTGTCCTTACCAGAAGTAAAACAGAAGAGGCAAGTCCTGCAGCCTTTTAACTCAACAGCCTAGTGCTAGGGTACCAGCCCAAGCAGGAGGTGAGCCAGGCTCTAGGTCCCAGATAAAAAATACCCTGTTTGAACCACTATTTCCTGCTTCCCAGCACAGCTCTCTTATCATTAGGCCATAGGCCAGACACTGCACTCTCCAGCCCTCCTTCATACATGGAAATATGAAATCAGAATACACACAGCTTTCTCCCTTCATTCTGACTAGCTGGGACAATTCAATTGCAGTGTAAATCAAGATAACATTGTGAAGCTAAATATTATTTTGTTAGGAAATTCACAGATCAAACTTTGAGCTGCTGCAAATGTGCCAAATCATATTTTGCAATGTCGTGGTACTACTCAAGACACTATAGAAGAATTGCCTAGATTCCTTGGAGCAATATTTGTTCATATTTTATGCATAGTTCCATTTCTATTTACATCAAATCCATTTACTGAAATGCTAAAAGTCGACGTTTTCTCAGTTTTGCAGTGGACTACATTGTACATTACAGTAGGGGTGGCCAACCAGTGGCATGGGTGCGACAAAGTGGCATGGGCAGCCTCTGTGTGTGGCACATGGCGGACTGGGGAGGGGATACGCCAGTGGCAGATAGGGTAGTCAGCAGAAAGAAGAGCACAGGGTAGGAAGTACCAAAAAAACAAACAAACAAACAAAAAAACAGAACAGCAGCTTGGTCAGGAAACACAGGGCAGAGCAAAAATCTGAGTGGACCAGATTGGGTAAGGGGCAGAGATAGGAGAGAGTATAGAGCAAATACGTGGATTCCTGCCAAAAAAAGTTTGGCCCCCCCACTACATTATAGTATTTTCATTTTTTTTTAATTTTTTTATTTCTACTTCTTTACACACTGATCATCATATCAGTTTATCAACCTTTACAGTGGTTGATTACATTAATATTTCATCAAGCTTTGCATTGTAAGACATCTTCTCTGACTTTATTCATGCCTCATACTTCAGATTTTCTTACAATTTAAAAGGGAAAAAAATTATGTTAGGTAATCCACTAGGTCAGATTATGCGATTCCTCTGTCGAGAAAGGGAAAAGTCAGTCCAAAGACTTGCATGGAACACTCAATCCAGCATGTCTGTCTAAAAGAACAGTTTCAAGAAATATTTATCAGAAGAATAATGTAATGTTTGCAATAAAATCACAAACTCCACATAGGGGTCAAAAACACTCTAAAAGTATATCTTTTTTCTAGGATTTTTAGGTACTTAATTCAAATCAATCCAAAACTCCCTTTTTGACAATAAACATGCCTTTTGTGGGAATTCAAATATAACACCATGGTAACGTGACCATCTTTTTAAAATGGAAAGGCAGGACACATTTCCACCTCTTCTCTCCCCCATCCCCTCTGCTGATGGCACGGCCAGAGTAGAGCCAAGCCAAGTCAGGGTGGATGCGGGCTGCCCACTGAGGGCTCAGGGCTTCCTGCCCTGCTTCCTTTCCCCCAGAACCCCACACTGGCCGCATGCCCCCTGCCCGCCCAGAAGCAGTGGGGGGTCCAGAAGCTGTAGGTGGGCAAGGGGCGCCTCACCACGGTGGCATGGCCAGTGCTGTGCTCCTGGGGGACAGCATGGCAGGGAGTGCCAAGGCTTCAGTGGGCAGCCCGCATCTGCCCCTCCACCATGCACAAATCTATAGGGCGCATACCTACCTATGCCGCACCCCCAGGAGTGTAGCCAGTGGCAGGGAGCTACCAGCCCCCATCCCACAGACACACTGCCTGTGGCTCCATTCTGTTCCCCACCCCGGCCCCGAACCCTATGTGCCGCCCTGGTTGGGCACTGCCCCCAGCCCCTGCTGCACTCCCTCCCTCACTGTGGAGGCCTCAATCTTCACTCTCCTATCCCCCTTGATTCATAGACTTACCGGTAGGGACTTTCTCTCCACACTGCCAGACTATATTCCTAGCCACGTACATGTGTGAAGGCATGCACATACACTTGACACCCAGCATGTCCCGCTCCCAGCAGCCCCAAGCAGCCTACAAGGGGAAGCCCGCTGCTTCCCAAGCCGGATCCCTACAGGATACTGCAAACCCAGGACAAATGCTGTCCTGTAGTCATGCAGCCCGGGACTGGGACCTGATATTCCCATTCTAGGACTGCCCCACCCAATTAGGGATGGGTGGCCATCCTACATCACAGTGAGAGAACTGGAAAACAGATTGAGCTGCAAAAGTGACACATCAGTATCTAATTATAATTGTGTAGGAAAGGCTGAGTTTTTCTCCAGGGTAAATGCACAAATATATCAAGTTATCTACATATTAATATGTAATTTCTCTGCTTGTATAAACAAAAGTGAAACTAAACAGACGGTGTTCATTGTCCAAAGTTATGATGTACAGGAAACAAAAACTCATTAGCAGGTATGGTGTTTACCACTTCAGGAGGGAAGATCCTGTTTCCTTGGGCAATCCAATTGCCCATTGTTGTTTTTGATGTATATAATCTAATTTTCTGCCATTGTTTTTAAACAATCTACCATGCTATTAGTAACACAGGTTGGTTTTTTTTTTACTATATTTATTTTCCTCTTAATGCCATATTTTTTAAAGTCTGCTAGAAAAGGGGAGATGGACAGACAGATGTCTCTTTTTAACATACATATTTGATGACGATGATAGATCTCACACATATGCACATACTATGTTAGAAGTAACCTTTCCAAATAGATACTTTAGATTTATCCACAGAAATCACTTGTAAGAGCTCTTAATGTTGAGTATGAACTTACTACTTGAAACACAATAATAAATAAGCTCTTTTCTTGATACTTTTGTTTGCAGGTTACAACCTGTAGCTAATGTACACAATTTCACTTAGCCTTGACTCCCAGAATAACACAAAAGCAAGAAAATACACTTCATCCTCTTAAGATGAAATTTATAGACACCATTATATGGCTATCAGCTGCTACAGAAATAACTATCTGATATTCCACAAATGCAAATGAAATTCTTCTTATATAACAGTTAAAGCAAAACGTTTTTTTTTTGTTTTTTACTATTTTTGCAAAATGTAAAGCACAAAAAGGAAAGTAACTATCTAGACACATTCCTGCATCAAAAGTAATGACAGCTTAGATGTTCCTTGACATGGTTTCAAATATTCTTTCAAAATGCATTATCTTATACTTTTTCTGTAAAAGGCTTTATTGATAATGCACCATCATATTACTTTTTTAGCTAGAGAACAGGTTTAAACACACACACACACAGAGAATCCTGCCCATTCTGGAATATATCATTTGAGGAAAAGAGTATCAACAGTTTAGGAATATAGCCAAATTGCATGGTAACAAAGAAAAAGTATAGACATATGATTTTTATATGGATAGTACTACTGTTTGCAAAGTCTTCTATATAATTATCATCACGCATAAATATTTTCTCAGGCAAGAAGCTATGAAATAGAACTATTGTGCTGGTAGCACTTACAAATGAGGCTCATTTCCTACAGCTTCAGTATGCACATGTTGGTAATACTGTCTTTTGTGCACTCACAGCAGATGAAAAGACTTTCCACCGACAGCTCAAACTGGTGCACAAATATTAATAAAAAGGTCACAGTCTGAGGGCTTACCCTGGGTCAAATGAAAGAAGCCCAGGACCATCAAAAGCTATTTCCAATGTCCAGCTGAGAAATCTGAAACAGAGAGTAACAAAGACAGTTTGTGACAAAGCTGACACACAGTCCTCTAGAAGGAACAAAATCAATTGTGACATTTTTCATTTATTTGTAAATGCCTCTTTGGCAGTACACTCACTCAAAACGACAGTTGCCTCTTACAGAATAGAGGAGGTGATGGGAAAATAGAGGAATCCTGACAGTTGCTTTAATGAGATTCTGCATTAGGACCACTCTAACATTCCCCTGCACAGCCAAGGAGCATACCTTTCACTTTCAATCTTGTGCCCCTCCTAATTTGGAAAGCATTAACCCTATGAAAAAACTGAACTCAGCCTTCTTGTATTGGCAATAAGGCTCCATTTCCTCCTTCTCTCCCAATCTCATCTTTCCCACTGTAAGAAGGAATTCCATAAACACTGAATAGGTGCAAATGCAATGGACCAACCATTAAGTTTCTGCCTCCCATTCATATTGGGTCTTGCCGTCAAAGCCACAAAGGCCTTGAGAGTGGAGTATTATTATTCTCAAAGTATCCATAAGGGTAGTAGAAAACAGCTCCTTATAAGAACTCTACCTAGACCGACACTAAATAAGTTGCTGCTGAAAAGTGTCTGCAAGAATCAGCAGCAGCAATATCTCCATTATTCCTGACTATTTCAGAGTTTTGTATTGTATACATCCTCTGTTTCTGTAACTGATTGCACGAATGTATTCCAAGTTTAACAATAAAGAGATCTGGTTTGAGCTTCGTTTAGTCTGACTTATCTTCGGTTTGTTAAAGTAAGGCTACCTCCACACCACTATTTAGTGTAAACCACAAGGTTCACCTTCAACTAGGCTCCCTGCCTCCCCATCCACGTGGATTCGGCACAGCATGAATCCATTCTAGGAGAGCCCTTCTAGGAATTACTCTACCTACTACTTATCTCTCCTGCTTTGTATGGCTTTAATTATGGATAGTTGAGGAAGCGGGGTGCAGAAGTCTGAAAGTCAGGAACAGGAAAGTGTTGGACTTGCGGGCAGACTTTCTCTGTTCTCAACCTTCAGCACCTTGGTGAGCTCTGCACACCCTGGGTAGGGGCATGCAGGCAACTGACTCTGCCCCAGCTCTGGACCATGCTGGCACTGCTGCAAGATCCCAGCTCCAGCCCCGAACCAACTCCCCGCCCAGCCACGCACCCTGCCAACGCTGCTGGGGCCAGTCTCCATGTAAACCCTAGCCCTGCACTGTCGTGCCGCACCGCTGCTGGGGTCTCCATGGAAACCAAACACAACAACGCAGGCAGGGGTTGCTGGGAAATGGAGTCCAGCTGCCATCCAGATCCACCATTTTACCCACCCCTGCACTAAAGACACTGATAGAGTCTTTATTGGTAGAGTAGGCTAGGAAGAGCTAAACCTCAGATTCTTAAGTTCAATACAGTCTCTGAGGCCAGGCCAGACTCTAGGCATGTGTCACGCTTAGGGATTTTCACTGAAAACAGTTGGCAGGTATGGCCTTGAAGTCACCCATAGAATCAAAGGATATGTCTACACTGTTACATAGGTTACTTTATGTCACAAACCTAAATAAAGAAAATGGAGACTGCTTTCCTGTACTTAATCATACTCACCCCTGATCTTGCTGTCCTTACCGTCCTCGAGATTTCTTGGAAGACAGCAGGACACTCTTACATGACTAAGAATTACTCATAGAAGTAAGGGCTGAAGAGCTGAAGATCAAACATTGGTTCTTTTAGGACCAAAAATACCCTATTTACTCAAATCCAATGTAAGGTTTTTCACCTCAGACAACATGGGCGGGGGGGGAAGTCTCATCTGAGATTTGAGTACCTGCCTGGGGCAGGTGGTAACTTAGCTCTGGCTTTGGCCCCAGACTCAGAGCAGAAGCCAGAGCTAAACTGCTGCCTGCATTGGACTAGAGTAACTCCTACGACAGGGGAGGAGGCTTACTGCCAGGGAAGCATGGGGGAGACCTACTTGTGCAAATTCAGGGGAGATCACACAGCTTGCCCCGCTACCAGTGCCTGACTCCTCAACCTATCTTCTGCTTCAGCTCCAGCCCTTCCAGACTTGACCTGGTCTGGCCCAGGGCTGCTGCCACTCTATCTGCCTGGAAGAATAGGGCTGGGCTCAGGCCAGGGCTGTCAACCACTGCCTGCCCCAAAAATGGAGCCGAGCAGAGCAGAGTAGCAGAAAGCAGCAGCAGGGTGGGCAGTTACAGGGAATGGGAAGACCAAAAGGCAGGGGAAGCTTGGACAAACAACTTGGGAGGAGTATAAGAATAGTGCTCGGGCATGCAGGAATGAAGTTGGGAAGGCCAAAGCACAACTGGAGATGCAGCTAGCAAGAGACATGAAGTACAAGGTAACAAGAAGAGTTTCTACAAGTATGTTAGCAACAAAAGGAAGATCAGAGAAAGTGTGGATCCTTTATTGAATGGGGAGGCAACTTAGTGACAGATGATGAGGAGAAGGGTGGAAGAAATCAATGCCTTTTACATTGGTCTTCACAGACAAGGTCAGCTCCCAGACTACTGCACCAGGCAGCACAATTTAGGGAGAAGGTGAGCATCCCTCAGTGCTGAAAGTACAGGTTAGTGATTACTTAGAAAACCTGGACGTGTACAAGTCCATGGGGCTGTATGCGATGCATTCAGGGGTGCTGAGGGAGTTGGCTAATGTGATTCCAGAGGCACTGGCCATCCTGTTTGAAAACTCATGGCAATCAGGAGTGGTCCTGAATGGTTGGAAAAGGCCAAACATTGTGCCCAAACTTAAGAAAGGGAAGCAAGATCCAAGGAACTACAGGCCAGCCAACCTGACCTCAGTCCCTGGAAAAAATATGGAGTAGTTCCTCGAGGAATCCATTTCTAGGCGCTTGGAAAAGAAGGTGATAAGGAACGGTCAGCATGGATTCACCAGGGGCAAGTCATGCCTGTTCAACCTGATTGCCTTCTAAGATGAGATAACTGGTTCTGTGGATGTGAAGAAAGCAGTAGATGTAATATACCTTGACTAGCAAGGCTTGTGATATCATCTCCCACAGCATTCTTGCAAGCAACCTGAGGAAGTATGGGTTGGATAAGTGGACTGTAAAGTGGACAGAAAGTTGGCTAGATTGTCAGGCTCAGTGGGTAGTAATCAATGGTTCGATATCTAACTGGCAGCCAGTATCAAGTGGAGTGCCCCAGGGGTTGGTCCTGGGGCCAGTTTGTTCAATATCTTCATTAACAATCTGAAAAATGCAATGGATTGCACCCTAAGCAAGTCTGCAGATAACGCCAAGCTGGGGGGTTTAGAAGATATACTGGAGGCTAGGGCTAGGATTCCATGCCACAGGCAAATTGGAGGATTGAGCCAAAAGAAATGTCATGAGGTTCAACAAGGACAAGTGCAAAGTCCTGCACTTAGGACGGAAGAATCCCATGCAGCGCTACAGCCTGGGGACTGACTAGCTAAGTAGCAGCTCTCTAAAAAAGGACCTGGGGGTTACAGTGGACACTAAGATGGATATAAGCCAACAGCACGCCCTTGTTGCCAAGAAGGCTAACAGCATACTAGGCTGCATTATTAGGAGCACTGCTAGCAGATCTAGGGAAGTAATTATTCTGCTCTATACTGCACTGTCAAGGCCACATCTGGAATACCATGTCCAGTTTTGGACCCCTCCACTAGTTGCAGACAAGTTGGAGACAGTCCAGGGGAGAGCAATGAAAATGATTCAGGGGCTCAGGCACATGACTTATGACGAGAGACACTAGGGAACTGGGCTTATCTAGATTGGAGAAGAGAAGACAGAGGATTTGATAGTAGGTTTTAACTACCTGAAGGGTGATTCCAAAGAAGATGGACCTGGACTTTTCTCAGTGGTGACAGAATAAGGAGCAATGGTCTCAAGTTGCAGCAAGGGAGGTTTAGGTTGGATATTAGGGGAAAAAAACTGTCTCATTAGTAGGGTAGTAAAGCACTGAAACAGGTTACCTAGAGAGGTTCTGGAATCTCCATTCATGGAGGGTTTTAAGGCCTGGCTTGACAAAGCCTTGGCAGAAATGATCTAGTTGGGGATGGTCCTGCTTTGAACAGGAGGCTGGACTAGATGACCTCCTATGGTTCCTTCCAACCATAATTTTCTATGATTCTAGGATTCTATAGGGAGGCAGGCACAGGCATAGTGAGGCAAGGAAGAAGGGCAAGCAGCAGGGGGAAGAAGGGGTGGAAGGCAGGGAGTAGAGGACAGGCACAGGCAAGGGAAACAGGCAGCAGGGGTCAAACAGGGCAGGCAAGGGGCATGTGGCAAGGGGGCAAGCACAGACACCAAGGGGACAGATGGCAGTGAGGAAAGGTGGTAAGAGGACAGGCACAGGCACTGGGGAGCAGAAGGCAGGCAGCAGGGTACAATGCGTGGGGGGCAGGCAAAAAGGGCAAGGGGTAACAGTCTGGCCCTCTCACCCCCCACTAGTGCTTTCCCTGCTACAGCAGTGGGACTGTGAATTTAAAATGACCCTCCACTAATTAGATTCTATATATGGAAAATTACAGTTGAAGTTGTCTTGAAATCCAGTAAATGCAGTACTCACAAGCAATACCATACTGATTACAACACAGAGATTACTAGGAAATGCAATCCATATCCGCTGCTAACTCTTAAATTTTCTAGGATGTCTGCGTGACATCCACATAATATTCTCTCCCTATATGCTCTGTATTCTTGTTTGACACCTGAACAGCAACACACCTACACCCACACACCCTAATACATTTGCAATATTGAATCTTCTGTATTCTTTTTTTCTTAAAATAACATGCAAAGGGAGAAATGTATTTCATTCCAAGTGTTAACTGCTCATTTATGATTAGGCTTGGCAGGATTTAATTTTTTATCAGTAAATGTCAATAAACATTGATTTCACCTCACACTCACGGACAAAAAATATTTCCAGTGTTAATAATTGAGACAGGAGAAGAATAGAAGGGGGTCACAGGCTGGAGTACAGAGGGCTGGTCTCTCTAAAGAAGAAAACAATGAGTGGCCTAATGACTCATCAATTAAGCATTTAGTTGCTTGTTCATAGGTGGGAGGACAGGGAAGTAAGCTGTAAAGAGGTAACAGGCTACTTAAGTCCCTGAGGGCTACACAAAGGGAGATGGGGGGGGGGGGA